TCCCTACAACCGTCCAGCCCTGGCAAATATCCGCTGCTTTCTGGCACGCCAGTCCTCTTCCACGGGGTGAGTACGACAGTATGCTGCTTCTATACAATTTAGAGATTTGCTACCTATGCATGATGGTTGCTTCAAAGGTGAAGCTTGACCAATAGATGATTCATTACCATCGTTCATGTGTTTGTATTTTCAGGAAAAGATAATCTGAAAGGTACTAATGCAGAACATGCCCTTTCTCAGTCCAGGAAAGGTGGGAAAGCTGTTTAGCAGGACTGGATGTAGTTGTGCTCTTTGTGCTTATTGTTTGATTTTAGTGTTCTCTCTGTCTCCATCTTTGTTCTCTCTGTCTCTCTTGCTGTATGCATGTGTGTCTCTCTTTCTCTCTCTCTCCCCCTCTCCCTCTCTCTCTCTCTCTCTCTCTCTCTCTCTCTCTCTCTCTCTCTCTCTCTCTCTCTCTCTCTCTCTCTCTCTCTCTCTCTCTCTCTCTCTCTCTCTCTCTCTCTCTCTCTCTCTCTCTCTCTCTCTCTCTCTCACACACACACACACACACACACACACACACACACACACACACACACACACACACACACACACACTCTTCACAGGTGAAGTTTGATCCTTTGTCTGTGAATGCCACGCTTTGCACTCCATTCCTCTTCAACAAAGTGTTTGAGTTTGAGCGAAAGGAAAGTCAGGTAAGGTGGTCCACCATATGATTGTCCCATTGTCACATTGTCGCATTGTCTCAGTTAGTACTTTTCACTTCTTTCATTTTGTTCAACATCACCCGGCATGTCAGGTGACTGCCAGTAGTAGTAGTAGTGATCTTGCTGGTAATTATTCACCCCGGGTGTGCACGCGATTCTCTTATTGGGAAGGGACATTACGCTTTATCTGTAAACACCCATCGTACTAAGACTACTATTACTAATAGACCAGCAGTTATTGGACATTGTGTTGAGGTGTGCAAATATTGTGTGAAGTTTGGCATGGGTGGCCACACTACCATCCACAACATAAGCTCTGACTAGCTCTCTCATCACTTGTATGCGCCATAGTTTAGTTATAGCAATGTTTCTCATGCCATTCGCTCTCCTTTGAGGTGATGGAAACATGAGTTCTGCCCTGTTTTCTCTGTGTGCTCTAGCATAATGCTCAGCTGGTCCTGTGCAGCTTGCCTTCCCCGGTGCAGATAGCTGTGCTAAACAGGCTAGTAGATACTTCCACGTCAGACTTTGTGGTATGTTTGCAAGCTAGTGCAATGATGGCATGCACTGTATTGTTCATGTAAGCAAGTCGTCATGACGAGCCAGTACGCACGTTTGCTGCAACAGAGCTTTGGATGCGGTCACCCGTACCTGTGGGTTGAAAGCAAGGTTGCATCCAATACCCTATCACATTGTTGAATCTCATCACTGTGTCAAAGCCGGACACCCATTGGTAGCGCTATCTGAAGACAGTGCTCTCCCAATATTAGGGGTGAAAGTTGGCACTGAGATCCCGAGTTCGAGTACTCTGATTTTCTCCGATCGAATATTCGAGTATTCGAGTATTCTTGATATCCTAAAAATCGCACACCAAGGGCCTTAAAAATCACATGGTACAACCCTGATTGAACCAATTGGCAGTCCTTTTCTCGAGTGTATTGGTTGGTGGGTCATTTGGGCTCTCTCTACTCATGTACAAATGCTCACCACTGTTAGAGAACATGCAAAACTCATGTACCTCTCGTCCACCACACAGTTCCAGGACAGACGTCTTCTTTCTCACAACCAACAACCGTAGCACTGGGTTACTACTGACTGATTTTCTATCATGAAGCAGAACATTAGTAGGATAATACAATAAGATGATAGGTGAGAACCATAATGCATAGGGCGAGCAGAGATCGGAGATCGTGCAAAATGGTGCAAACAGAACATAGCAAAGCAGGCAAGTCACTTGTCCGAGGCCATCACACAGATGGCAGACAAGGTGCTTCCACCCAACTAAATCTATTGCAATGTTGACATTGCAATGCAACTTCCTTGTGCACAGGCACACTTGGCAGTTTAGATCACGTTCCAACGCCCTAATAATAGACATCACTAAGGCACAATGCAATCATCGCACACGCAGCATGTACCATTGCGGTAGTCTGTAACAAGGCCTGACCTCATGCCTCCGCATCAACAAACCACACAAAGCTGTTCCTGCTCTAGCAACTAAGCACACACGAAGCAATGCATATGTCACCAACAGCACGATTATACTTCACCACACACTCTGTACATCAATATCTGCTGACTGCTGCTCTGAAACAGTAGACTTCTGTGGTAAATGCATGTACCATGTTTGAGCGAGGACTCTGATTTATTCCGAGTACGACTAAAGTTGAAACATCCAAACGAGTATTCGAATATTCGGTATAATTGTTTCACCCCTAATAATAATAATAATGACAGTTCGCATTTCACTCATTGCATGAGGTCAACGCATCTGTTAACAATTTCGAGCCAAGCAGCTCTATCAGAAGCAGATTGCACAGCATCCAGAAGCGACAGATTAATGCATTGTAAGTCTTTCTTGACAACGTCGATCCATCTCAGACGTGGTCGTCCTCGGGGTCGTCGTATGTCTGTTGTGTTGATTGACATCAGGAGGGCTTGGAAAGAGGACGATTCTTCGCCTTCCCTCACTACATGGCCGAACCACAGCAGTCTCCGTTGCCTGCAGACTTGGGATAGTGGGGTCTGCTCGGTTCTGGCATACAGCGCTGTGTTCGAGATTCGTTGTGGGTACGTGATACCAATGATGGTACGTAGTTTCTTCCGGTGCCATACATTGACGACGTCGGTTAATGTTTGCGATAAGGTCCAAAGCGCACAATTATACACCCCTACCCAATATAAAATGTACACTAATGGTTTGGCCCAGCGCAGCAACTCAAGACGAAACAGTTAGACGGCCCGGGCTATTCTGCACCTTCTACATCACCACTCTTACGCAAAGGCAGAATAGCGGTGACCAACAGACGGAAAGGGACTTTGGTCTCTGCTGTTCTGCCTTTGTGCAGTACGCTCTGCCCTGGCCTCTGCTTTGGCTTGGACATAGGCACTGTGTCACCACTCTTACATAATTGTATTTTTCTATCTTGCTGTTGCTTTGGAAAAAAGGAAACAGCGTGGTAGAACATGACTGTATGTTAGTGTGTTGCGTAGTGGTTGCCTGGTGTTCATAAAGTTGTGGAGCACATGAAAGTATTAAATTGTCTTCTTTTCCACTTTTCTTGATTCTCTTTAGCTCCCTAGTTTCATAGCGGCAGGTAACCCGAAGTTGGCCAGACTACCCGCCGAGGTATGTTTGTGCTTTGGACGTTGTACATGTAGTGCTAGTGGTGGTGGTTAGGTTAAGGGGGGGGGGGGGGGTTGGCGGTAGACGATGTGTTACGGTGGGATATGTGCAATACAACTGTTCATAGTATGATGATGATGACAGCATGCTATCACACGGCGGACGGAGGACACACTTCGTTGAAAACTATGCTCCTGGCTGCAACAAGAAAGTGTGCCCTCCGCCTTATGATATGCTGTCATTATCATCTCGTACATGTTTAACTAGCAAGCAAGGCTTGCATATACCAATGGCGCGTTTGGTTGGTACAACCTAGAACAGGATTCACCAGAACAGCGCGTTTGGTTGGACTGCACCTGTTCTGGGTCGGCCAGGACATGTTCTGCTTGCTCCGGCCTTGAGGGCGCCGGGGCAGATCAAGCAGTTTCACTTTTTCACATTGAAACCTGGCGGGAACATCGATTTTGGTCCCAAATGATCATATGTATGCGCTTTTGGGTTGGACTCGTTGTACTGTACAAAGTGACCAAGGTGACCCGTACACCAATGCACTACGTTTGGCACACTTTCACAAAAAATGTGCTCTGTTTCTGGAGTACCGTTTAGTTGGCATGAGGCTGCTCCATGTGTACCAGCTGTTCGATCCTGTTCTAGATCGCACCAACCAAACACACCCCAAATGTTCAGAGCGTAGTGCATTGTGCAATGTGATTGTACTCTGATCAGTCATTACCCACCATTGTGATATTTTTTTAGTGGTAATGTGTCATGCAACATGTAACATATAACCCTTGCAACATGTTCGTACCAATGCACACCTTCTGCCAGCTACCAGAAAAGCATGGTCAGTCACAATGTATGACTACTGGTGCATGGGCACTGTGGTAGAGAGCAAGGGCACACTGTTTTAAAAGTTCTCATCACCTCCTGAGTGTATCGGTCTTGAGAGAGAGAGAGAGAGAGAGAGAGAGAGAGAGAGAGAGAGAGAGAGAGAGAGAGAGAGAGAGAGAGAGAGAGAGAGAGAGAGAGAGAGAGAGAGAGAGAGAGAGAGAGAGAGAGAGAGAGAGAGAGAGAAGAGAGAAAGAGAAAGAGAGAGAGAGAGAGAGAGAGAGAGAGCGGGAAAGGAAAGGGACACTTTAGCACTTCAAGTACACTAGTCACTAGCATACAGTATTCAAGGTACATGTACGTGCACTATTTGTTCAAGTTCTCATTGTCCTTTCTCAAGTGCTGAAAAGTGAAAGTAAAAGTTAGTTTTGTGTAGTTGCTCTCTGTCCACTTGTCCACGGGCTGTCAGCATGCCTAGCAATTTGTTCTCATGGGATATGGAGAAGGCGGTGATGTCAGGACCAGCTCTACGCCATCGAGACACGTTCGTCCCTGCAGCAGCAGCAGGAGCAGGAGTTGGTCAAAACAATCCATCACCGTGTCCTGAACAGGATTTGATAAAATATCTGCTTGACCCTACAGGCAGGAGAATGCAGCGGAAACAGCCATGGTTCGAAACAAGGATCCTTGTATAAGTGAAACTAACTAATATCTCCTCTCTAAAACCATCAAACAAAACTCCTCGCGATGTAGATCTACCTATGGGCTGGGCTATCTCTGAATTTCACCATGTCAGTGCTACAACCTCGTACGATTGTCGCAAGTGAACAACTTACTACTTTTTCACGAAGTCACTGGTATGAATGGAGTGCCCGTGTGAATGCCACTCAGTTGTACCAGCGTGTTCCCGCCAAACACGCCCGTGTGAATGTGCCCTTTAGTAGAAGTGTATTGTAAGTTCTAGCTTTGTTCTTTCTGTTATGTGTTGTGATGTTGTGTTGGCTGCAGATTGAGAACTTGTCTAAACTACTGAAGCGTGTGCGTATGACTGACACTGACCCCATTCTTCGCTTTGTCGACTACCTACTGCGGAACAGAAACGTCAGCCCTCTCAGCGCTGCAACCGTTGCATTCTGCTCTAAATTGGAGAAGAAAGGTGGGTCCACATCAAAATACAGAGTCAGTGTCTCTGTGTGGTGATCTGGAATTTTAATGTCGTCTGCTCTGTTTGTGCATGAGTGTGTGTGTATGTGTGTGTGTGTGTGTGTGTGTGTGTGTGTGTGTGTGTGTGTGTGTGTGTGTGTGTGTGTGTGTGTGTACGTGCGTGCGTGCGTGTGTGCGTGTGTGTGTGTGTGTGTGTGTATTGTAGGACTGTGTTTATGTGTGAGTTTGTATTGTATGTGGAGTATGTATGCCACTGTCCACCACCTACACATAGTTGTGATCTTCGTTTTCCACCATCTTTCTTGTGCCATACTAGACCAATAGAATGGTATTCCCCACCTAATCCATCTACAGCATCGCACCATTTCCAACCCCTAACACCCTTTTAATATTGCGAACAATTCAGCCAGGCCCTCCGAGCTTTACTGATGAAACCTAACAAGCTCGAAACAGTTAGCCGTCCAGAGATTGAGTATATCCTTTTTTTATCACAGCCTCTTTTCTCGTTTGCCATTATTGCTATTTCGAAGTAGAATGTTTGCCCGGGGATCACATAGCGTGAAATTTGAGTAGCCTGGAGAATCTTTTTTCTAAAATGTTTTCACTCGGATACTGAGCCAGTAGCACCGGTATATGTATTTTCTTCTCTTAAAAACAAAAACAAAACAAAAAACAAGTACTAGTAAGCTCTACCCAGTGTTGTGTTGAGCGCGGTGTGAGCAGAGAAAGAATTCTCCTCTGTGTATTTCCTAGTGGCTACAAGTACATAGATAAGGGTCAGCAGCGCCAAAGCAAGAACTGTATTGATGCGGGGTGCTGTAGCATAACGCAGAGAGGTTGCAGTGCTGACATTCGGGGCACTTTCTCACACGTGTTTTCCTATTTCCTCTGCTGCCTAGCTTTACGCCTGCATTGCTTCAAATCTCTTTCATTGTTGTTGTCTGATGATGGCTTTTCGAACCATAAAGCTCTGAGTTACAGCAAATCACTTTTGAAATTAGCCCTTACTCATATTTCCCTTTATGTACCTCTTGTATCACACATGTTTGTACTTCAAAATATTCATACATGTATATGTCCGTGTTCTCCATCTGCAGTTACCTTTATGGATATTCTTGTACTTATTTTGAAACGGCTGAGAGAGCAACGCGGCAGGGAAATGCCGCCCTCACCCACCACACCAGCTCCCACGACTTCCACCGCCTCGGCACATCCCGACGGCAAGATTGAACAACCCAAAGCTAAAGTGGCCAAGAATGTCACCAAAACCACCACGTAAGTGATCTGCTGCATTCCCACTCTTGATATTTGTTGGCTGCCATGCTTTGTACACCTGCACTTTCATGAGCAGATAATCTAGCGTATGCTTACAGGAACATACAATCATGTAGCCGGTTTATAACATAGTGCTGCCACTAATGCGTTAGTGCCTGCGAATACAGACAGCCATACGCATTGAACAATGAAGACGGATGTAGATGCGGTGGTGCTATAAACAAGGCATGTATGAAGCCAGCATGCTCTTGTCAAAAAGCAGCTGTTTTCCGTGATTTTTATGGAGACCCCTGAGCCTCGACAGGACTTCCAGCCTCTGGGGAATCTTGAAATGAATTAATTACAAAATTTACATGCAGCGACATGTTCTTGACACTCTTGTCGGTATATTTGGTTTCTGTGAGGTTTCCATGTGCAGTTTCAGCAGATATCTTTGTGTTGCATTCTTAGATCGTTGTGCTGCTACTGTTGCTATTGTTGTTGTCGTCGTTGTTGTTGTCGTCGTTGTTGTTGTCGTCACTTTCTTATTTATCGTTGTTGCTGTTGCTGTTGCTACTATTGTTTGAATTTGAATTCTTTATTCTCACGATTGTTGTTGTTGTTGTTGTTGTTGTTGTTGTTGTTGTTGTTGTTTTTTTCTGTTTTTTGTGTGTTCTTCCCAGTCCAACACAATCAGTAAAAGAAAGTCAGCGGGCCAGTATCATCGTCAGGCTGCTGCGGCAGATTGAGTCCGGTGCTGTGTACATTCTCTTCTCACCCAACAACGTTCTAGCTGGCACTATTATCAATAAGGTGAGTTGTGTTCGTGGTGTATAAAGGTAGAAGAGGGAATTTAATATTTTAATTCAAGACACACTCTTGGTGATGATTGTGCTCCATTCTTGCTTGGTCTAGGCGGGCGGCAACATTGTATGGCACGTTGGCATTGCCTTAAAACTGTGCTGCAAGGGCTTCTGAGTAAGGACTTCTGTATTTCGCTGTATTGCGTATGCGACTTTATTTCTTGCCTGTTTGCTCGGCACCTTGATGTGTGACAGGCTCTACAACCCTTCAATGAACTTCTCAAGGGCATTGGGACATCGGCAAAGGTCTTTGCTGAGCAAACTACAACGCTGGCCGACTCGCTGGAGCTGCTGGAGACTGCATCGCGATCCCCTGCCGCTTCTGCCTTCCTGGCAAGCCCGCTGTGCACCACTCTTCTGCCAGTGGCACATGTAAGCATGCTGATATCGTTCTAACGTTGTACGTGATTAGCTTGTCAAGTGGCACTACAGTCAGTTTCAAAAAGATTAGCAATCCTGGCGATCGCCCGGGGAGTTTGCCGTCTTACCGTATGCGCGCTCGAGAGCTGGCTGGGAAAACTCACTGTGAACTTGAAGAAATAATCCGCGCAAAAGCATGAACAGAACAATTTGCCGTGTCCTAACAAGCCATTCTATGTATTTTGTTGTCCAAATTTCCCTTATCTTCATGCTTTTTAAGACCAAAACCTGATTGCTAATCTTTTTGAAATGGACTATACACAGTCAGGCAGCATACAGCATTCGACGCCTTCTAAGGTATCTTTTGACTAGCTTCAATACCTGTCAAGGTATGGTCATATTGGTGGGCCTGCTTATCATCTTTTTCGTTCTTTCCCTCCGGTGATGTGTGCGTGTGCCCTTGGATATGCATGCATGCATGTATGAGTGAGTGAGTGTGTGTGTGTGTGTTTGTGTGTGTGCGTGCGTGTGTGCATGCATGTGTGTGTGTGTGTGTGTGTGTGTGTGTGTGTGTGTGTGTGTGTGTGTGTGTGTGTGTGTGTGTGTACGTGTGTGGGTGTCTGTGTGTGACTGTAAATGGGAGCGGGTGTTACACTTTCATGTCGATGTTTCCGATGTGCATGTGGCTACTGTCTTCCAATGTGCATGTGGCTACTGTCTTCCACATGCGCATGCAGCCGTACGTCAAGTTCACGTGCCGTTTCCTCAGCGCTCTGCAGCCTGGATTTGAAGGCAGTGACCATGAGCTTGTCGTGGATGAAATCGTGACGGCGATCAAAGCCAGCAGCTTGGTTGCGAAAGGCATTCATCATAAGTTTTCGTCGGTGAACCTGACGGAGAGAGTGCAGGGTGTGCGCAATGAGACAGCACTGACTGACACTGCCATGTTGCTATCTCAGCAGCAGAAACTCATGTATGCCGGTAAGTCTACGAGTATTTTATGCTGATTCTCTGGTTGAGACTCTTGTCTCCTCTGATATACCTGAGCTGTTGAACACTTCAAGAGTTGCTCCTATTCCGAGCATTTGCCTGAAGTTATCAGTTCTTCCTACTTGCCACCATAGCTAGCTAGCACACTTACTATGGCTCTTTTTGTTATAGTGATAACTGTCAGTAATTTGCTGGTGTACTTTCTCTTCTCCACCATCCTTTTGCAGGGATTGTTTTCAAGAATTTGCCGAACAATGGCACCCAGCTGCCACGACATATCATCTACAAGATCCGCCAGAACTCCACGCTGGTGCCGTCGACGAATCGCTTACGTAAATTGTGAGTCAAGCTTTCAATTTGCCCGCTGTTGCTCCCTAGGTGGCAGCAGGCATTGCTGGTTTTCGTTTGATTCTCAGAATTTTTTCTAAGGATTCAATTCTCTGCAGAATTCTTGTGATGCGTGTGGGCATGTGGGCACGTCGATAGTACACCCATCTTTACCTATAGGTCTGAGTATAGGATGTATCCTCATTGTCCGATGCCTATGCCCAGTGGTTTTGTGACATAGCAGATCTACCCTAAAGGTCGCTGTTGTGTAGCGTTTGCACATGCCTCAGCACACCTAGTTCTATTAGTTCTCAACCTGTGGCACTGAGCCCGGGCCCAGACTCGTTATATACTACTGCATGCTCGATTTAGAAGCAGGTAAAACTCACGAGCAACGTGAGAGTCAGACTGACCTTTCTGCATCCGCTGCCACAAGCATGACAGCAGCTCACCCTCGCTGCTGCGAATGCAGGCATTGCATGACAGCAGCTCTCCCTCGCTGCTGTGAATGCAGGCATTGCATGACAGCAACTCGCCCTCGCTGCTGCGAATGCAGGCATTGCATGACAGCAGCTCGCCCTCGCTGCTGCGAATGCAGGCATTGCATGACAGCAGCTTGCCCTCACTGCTGCGAATGCAGGCATTGCATGACAGCAGCTCGCCCTCGCTGCTGCGAATGCAGGCATTGCATCCGCAACCTTGGTATAATCAGGCGTGGTGGTGGCCTGGCACGAGCGAAACTTCCCAAGCTGGTTATGTTCTATAGCAGACTTGAGTAGCCGGTTGTAGCGCAGAGGTTTACTTTACTTTTACCCGATTAAAAGCCGACCCTGGTTCTTGGCTGCAGGGATCGACTAATCTTCCCCACCTCTCCTCTTATACTTGTTCAGCTTCATATCAGCCCGTGCCACTGTTTTGCTCTTCTTCACTGCTTCTTTGTGCAGCACGTGGTCGCCTGGTCTGTGCGTGAGTCGTCAGAACTGTATCCAGTACCAGCTTTTCGGCTTCAACTTCCTTCAGGATATCCTCGATCGGGCCATCATGAAGCTTCAAGCGAATCTCACCGAGGCTGAGTCTGCCGCACAGCTGCCCGGTGCATGGCTGCAGAGCTTCCCGTACCCGTGCTACCTGGACGACTCGTAAGTAGGACTCGGTCCCTGCGCGGCATGCAGCATGGCACTGGAGAGAACGAGTGCTTGGTACTGTTGGTGTAAGACCAAGCACAGAGGATAGTGGCACTCCTTCTTTTTCAGTGCTTTACTAAGTGGCCTGTGCTGTCGAGAGTACATGTACATACCGTACCCCCCCCCCCCCCCCCCCAGCTCTCTTCTGGTCACTTTGCACTGTTTGCTGGCTTAGCCTATTGAACCATGTCACGTGATGTGAAGTTCTGCCATCGCAGCACTGGATTAGAGGTTGTACAAACAGGTGAAGCCGTATGGTCGGGACCATTTTCACTGTACATTGTATTCGCCAGCCTTTGAGGAAACCGTTCGTTTGCTGCTTTCTGAATCTGCATAACCCGCTGCTGTTGTGACTCTCTGTCCTGTCTAGTTTCACACAATCCATCGCTAGAACTTTGCCATTGGTGCTTATCCTGGGCTGGGTGTTGTCTGTTGCGTCTCTCATCAAGAACCTAGTCTATGAGAAGGAGCACAGGCTGAAAGAGGTATGTACATTGCTGTGTGCACCAGTTCTCTATGTGACTATTGTACAGTGAAAACTGACAGTGAAAAGCAGTCTTGAAGTACAGTTAAGTTACCGTATTATCCCCAATAAAAGTACTATTTTTTTCAAAGGTAGTCTGCCCCGTGCTACTAAAGGAGACTGCACTAGTAGTGGAGACTCTTCTTTTATTGGTTGGGGCAAGATTGATCGCCTGCTATGGGTGTCATACCACTCATAATAATAATAATGATGATATCTTTCGGCTGTAGATGCCTTCAATAACACTCCAGCTAAGGTAGCATGCGCTGTAGAAAGGCACAAAGCTGATTAATGGGTAATTGATTGATGGGTAAGAAAAACGAAGTAAAGTGGATCCAGGTACACGTACCCCAGTAATGCCCATCACATCATTCTGGCATGTACTACTGAGTACTATTTGAGACGTGTCTCTTTATATTTCCAATCCACGCTCAATCCACGCTCAACATGCACTAGTATTGGAGACGTACTAGTATTGGAGACGTGTACGTTTATGAAGGAAAATACGGTATCTGTTGTGTTGCCTGTACACCCTGGCCATTCTTTCACGTTGGCATAGTAATTGCTTTGTGTTTTGCCCGTGAAAGTGGCTTCGGTTTGGACTTTTGAGGTTCAGGTGCTCCTTACAACGTCTGAACTAAGTTACTGGCTTTGAGCTATATAGTATTTAGTGTCATCAGCAAGTGCTGGTGTGTCGATATGCATGCGCTGCCAAAAGTCCACTTTGGTTTTACGTGCACTTGACCGACCTCATCCACCCAGTCCGTATAAGATGTGCACTTTATGTGTATGCATCTGCGTTTACGTGTGTGTGTGTGTGTACGTGTGTGTACGTGTGTGTGTACATGCATGTTTGTGTATGTGCATCTGTGCATGCATGTTCATGTGTGCGTGTAGTTCATGAAAGTAATGGGTTTGCGTCCCAGTGCTCACTGGATAGCCTGGTTCATCACTAGCTTTGTCTTGATGAGCGTGTCTTCACTGCTGCTGACCGTGGTGCTTAAGGTATGTGGCTACGATGACGCATGTGCATGCTGTGCTCCTTGTGCATCACTGTTCATTGTCCTGTATCGTGTGTAATGTGTACTGCACCCCTGCCTTGACGCTCCAGTACAATGTATCCTGCGCCATGGATATGGTATATCCATGGCCTGGATATGGTATATCCAGGCCATGGATATGGTATATCCATGCCATGGACATGGTATATCCAGGCCATGGATATGGTATATCCAGGCCATGGATATGGTATATCCAGGCCATGGATATGGTATATCCAGGCCATGGATATGGTATATCCATGCCATGGATATGGTATATCCAGGCCATGGATATGGTATATCCAGGCCATGGACATGGTATATCCAGGCCATGGATATGGTATATCCAGGCCATGGATATGGTATATCCAGGCCATGGATATGGTATATCCAGGCCATGGATATGGTATATCCAGGCCATGGATATGGTATATCCAGGCCATGGATATGGTATATCCAGGCCATGGATATGGTATATCCAGGCCATGGATATGGTATATCCAGGCCATGGATATGGTATATCCAGGCCATGGATATGGTATATCCAGGCCATGGATATGGTATATCCAGGCCATGGATATGGTATATCCAGGCCATGGATATGGTATATCCAGGCCATGGCTATGGTATATCCAGGCCATGGATATGGCGTACACGCAGCAGTGATGTATAGGCTTTCAGCTGAGATTTAAAGGACTCCTTGAAGTACAGTACTATTACCTTGAATGGTCTCTAAATGTGTAATGTGATCTGCTAAACATCAATGTTTTCTTTGCACATGTACTCCTGTTTGTCTCCGAATCTACCCAAATTGTAGACTTTGTGCCGTCCCAACAATACACTGTCCATATTGCTTTCTTATTCCGTACCTAATGTTGTGTACAGGAAATCGCGTCGCATGCCGGTCATGGTGAATTGTTGACTTAAGCTCAACTTCTTCGCCATGCCATGTGGCCGTAACCTCACGTGACCGTCACCTCACGTGACCGTCACCTCGCGTGTCTTTGCACTTAGATCTACTATTAGTCTTAGTTAGCCTCAAGATGTGTAAAAAATACACTCCAACAGCTACCAGTATGCCTCTCATCGCCTGCTTGGCAAGGAAATTGTTTAGCTGTCAGAGGAGTTTGCATTTTTCTTTGCTGTTCTCTTTGCTTTGCTTTGTGACCAGGCTGGTAGTGTCCTGGAGCACATCGACTTCCTTGCATTCTTCCTCTTCCTGGAGCTGTTCAGTATCGCACTGATTGGTTTCTGGTGAGTATGTCTTTTCATCAGGATCATCATAACGAGCCTGCTTTAGCTAGTTGGTGCATTGTCGGCCAGTGAAATCCGCTCAGGGTAATGACAATGACAATGGTGTGCACAGCCCAAGTATGAAGTATGCTGTGCCCTGGCCTTTGTTCTAGTAGATCTTAGTTCTCAATGACCGGAGCTGTGCGACTGAAAGCATTCTGCCAGTGCACATCAGCATGCAGAGAGGCATAGAACAATGCCGGCCCATCCAAGCTGTTGGTCCTCTCGGGCATGCTTTGCCTACAGTGTGATCAATGGACAGAGCTTGTGCGTTCTAATTCTACTTGTGGGTTTGAAGGAGAAACCTTCCGTCATGATCAGAAGACAAGAGAAAAAGAAGAACAACTACAAGAAGAGGCATACCCGATATGTAGTCTTGACTATGCCCTCACCTATAACTACTATCAAGAGTATATAAGCTCCCAAGAGTGTGAAACTCTGCATATGGGGTATCTGAGGGCGAAAACTCACATCACGTGTCTCGGGTAGGTTTTGTACTATGTACAACTAAGGATAGCGTGCGCGCAATCCAAAAATCTGCCATGATCACGCTGGCGAGTTGTATACGTGCAGTGAGTTTTTGCCAGTGAGTGCTTTTATTATTACTCCGCTGCTCGCTAAAAACAGGCTGGAAACGTACAACTGGGACACTACACCACGCGATGTGAGTTTTCGCCGCCGGCAAACCCCATAGAAAGGGTGTCAGGGGTTGCACACTCTTGGGAGCTTATATACTCTTGCTACTATCATTTGGCTACAACCCTGCATACTGGCAATCAGCTTCACCAACAGGACCTTTGTTTCCGAGAAGGTCATGGCATGCAAAACTGCACCGCTCTCTGGCGGGAGTATTCCGACTGTATGCGCGCTTTGTGCATGCCTCTCCGTGTCAAATGATAGATGCCCCGAGCCATGGGTCCAGGGGCAGACGTGAGCTCGACTACAATAGAAAACAGATGCTGTCTAAACGACTTGCAGTTGAGAAATTACAGAAATGACGGTAGTTCTGATCACCTGGGATATTGTCTTACCTAGGACTTTGTCTTGTTTGTGTTGTTCCAGCTTTCTCATCAGCACATTCTTCTCCAATGCAAACCTGGCTGCATGCTGTGGTAGCCTGCTATTCTTCGCCTGCTACCTGCCATACGCTGCTGTTTCCCTGCAAGAGGAAGATGCCGATTCGGTCCAGAGGGGCTTTGCGGTGTGTTATTGAGGGCAGGGATGTGTGTGTGTGGGGGGGGGGGCATGATATTGCATGCATGTGCATCCGCTGTGGTTTGTTTGCGTCCATTTTGAGCCGGGACAGGCAGTCTCCTGTTTTAGATGTGTTGTGTACGGAGTATGTTATTCTGTTCTGTTCCCTAGTAGATCTTCACTCATGCAGGGCGGTATATATTGTATATCTCATGCTCAATGCTGGGCTGGTATCTGTGTTTCTAGCAGCAGTTGCATTGAACCATCCCCGTTGACTTCTCGTTGTTCTGTGGCATCTCTGTTGACAGTGTCTGCTGGCGCCGTCCGCATTCGGCCTCTCAACCAGCTACATTGCCTACTACGAGCAGCAAGGCGTTGGGTTGAACTGGAGGAACATGAGGGACAGTCCGCTGTACAATGACTCGTTCAGCTTCGTTGTTTGCTGTACCTTCTTGGCTCTGGATGCGATCATGTGCATTGCAGTCGCCTGTTACCTGGATCTTGTCTTTCCTGGTAGGTCTGATTATAAAGCATGGCTCATTCTATGCTTTTGCATTGTCAACACGAATTGAAGAGCTCAGCAACTTCAAAGTCACTGAACGCTGACCAATCTTTTAAATGTTTTGAGGCTGGATGAGCTGAGTCAGTGGGATTGGATTTCTTTCATGTTCATATAGCAGTTGTGCCAAGTCGTAAGTATAGTGTTTTCGGTAGAGTCTACCACCCCTGGTCTGATGGTACTGACTGGTGTCCATTTTGCACTTCTTGTTGTTGTTTCACCGGTCAGGCAAGTATGGGGTAGGAGTGAACTGGAATGCACCGTTCCAACGTTCATTCTGGATCTCCAGCAAGGGCTCCGACAAAACGGACAAACATCTTAGGAGGGTGAGCCATGCCACTTCAGCCTGCACCCTGAACCAGCCCCTTGTCGATCCCGACGGTTCGCCCACTGATGCATTTGCTGCTGGTGAAAGCCGAAGCCCTTCACCGATGGCTTCAGCTGTTTTCGGCAGTGTGCCCGCCAACGTGGATGCAGACCTGGAGTCGGAGGCTGAGCCGACACACTTGAAGTGTGGCGTCGCTATCCACCAGCTCGTGAAGGAGTACACCAGCAAAGAGTCCACCAATCGTGCCGTCGACGAGCTGTCTCTCAACTTTTACGAAGGCCAGATCACCTCCTTCCTGGGACACAACGGAGCTGGCAAGACAACCACGATGTGAGTTGAAATCTGTCTTCTCCTTTCTGTGCTTGTGCTTGCGTTCATCCTTCAAGAAACTAAATATCCCGTAGTGTGCATCGAGCCTTGAAGAAAGAGACTAGCGGATTGCTTGGAAGTTGTGCAGTTGTATGCAGGTCACTGATGCCTGGACGGAGCAGATCCTAGAACAACGATGGTGGCTCATGCATGCTCTTCTGTGCGTCTACCTGTTTCGGGAATTTCCACAGAGGATAGTGTGCACATCCTGCTTCTAAGCGTGGCAAGCCTTGGCCACTATCCCAACTTATTGTCTTGTGTGCTCAGGAACGTGCTGTCGGGAATATACGAGCCAACTAGTGGCTCGGCGTTTGTTTACGGTCAGGACATTCGCAATGAGATGAGCGCCATTCGACACTCGCTCGGCATTTGTCCACAGTACAACATTCTCTTTGACAAGTAAGTCTTCTCGATCTGTTCCTTTTCGTATCAGTAGTATTGTATGTTCATGTCCACATCTTCTTGTATACTTCAACAGAAATATACTGCGCACATGTTGTTCAGTCAGTGGTCACGGTTTGCTTATAACCTGAGAGTGATACTACATGTAGTAGACAAAATGCCAGCGGTATTTCACCACCCTTGCTTATGACCATGCTGATAGTGTAGAATGTACTTGTACGCCAGCAGTCTCATGATGCAGTGTGTTGATTGTAGTGGAACTACTACTACTATGCAGCGAACTAGTCCTCACGCTCTGGCATGCGCAATCAACCACAACACCAGTTCTCGGTTAGAAAAGGTTTGTAAAAAGAGAGATAGAATGTATGATCTGAACACTTCCAAGCAGGCAGTAGACTGACTCCCCTATCTCAGAGATAAGACCGGAAAAACTAACAGGGAACTCCTCGCGTGACTCGGAGATCGTCAGCAAGCAGCGGGAGCGAGGATGAAAGCAAAGACAGCCAGGTAGGGATACAGAAGCCATGCAGCGTGACAGGTGAACAATGGACACAGCAGTCCATGGTGAAACAAGACACCTAAAGGATAGAGTGAATTACGTGCACAGCATGAACGGGTCATGACTCATCTATGTCTGGAATGACAGCATAAGGCAACAACACTTCTGGGAGAGCCAGACAACAAGAATACTAACACCACTCATCAGAATAGAAGTACTAGCAGAAAGACTATAATAAGTATTGGCAGGACTATTGTTACTATAACAAGTCGGTTACAGTTCCTCTTCACCATCGGGTGTCTGGAGGGGGTTGGTTGGTTGGTTGGTTGGTTGGTTGGATTTATTTAAAGTCGTACAACAAACAGGCATATATATCTGCCTCCTTATATGAAGACGACTTCTGGCAGTAAAACATTTAAAAAAGAAAAGGAGAAAAGAAAAGATAAGATCAAGAATGTATAGACTGAGCATACAGCTAGCAGGAGACTGAGCGGGTGGGGGTGTTATGGCACCTGTTACAGCGTGGTGTTTATGTACTGGCTACTGGCGGGGCATTTTGATTGTCTTAACCATTTCCAAGGGCCATTTTGAGCCCTGTTCTATTCCAGGATTGCGTCATAGCATAGACATGTTGGGGAACCAGGGTGGCACCTGAGTACAATGTGTTCTTTTTACAGCTGCTATGTCGAGGTACTGGTCTTGGACTATTGATGTCATATTCACTTACCAGGCATCGTTTGGAGTGCGGATTCAACTCATCCAAACAACAGCAACAGCATTATGGAAATTCATTTCCCCAACAACATCAACAGCATTATGGAAATTCATTTCATCTCTTCCTTGACTCAACTATGATCTTGGCTAGTTGGATTCCACATCTGCTGTCTGATCGCTGTACTGTTCAACTTGCAACTTCACGTCTATCTGTGAGGCCCGTGAGACATCATGCGATGCTGGATAGTTCAACCAGAACCTGACCTGGTAGAAGTCACTTATATCTCACGTATTGCATGACTGTTCTCTTGTCAAATTAGGATCTGCTTCGAAGTACAGTGTAACCTCAGCATTACATTAAATGATTGAAGTACCATGGGTTGTACTATACATGTTGTCTTGTTGTACTATACATGTTGTCTTTGCACGGGATGTAAAGTACAAGACCCTGTACATGTACATCCTTTTCCAGTCAGTTGACTGTGGGTACAGAGTACCTCCTCACTTGCCCAATCTCCAGATAGCTACTAGTAAGCTGTTTCGATTTTGTTAGGTCTCATCAGCGGAGCGGCTCAGAGTGACTGGCCAAACCGATGGCAATGAACTGAATGAAGTGTAGTGAACAGCAAGGAATGTTCAACCGGCTCAAAGCATCAACGTCAGAGTGTTCTAACTGCGAAAATACAGTGAGCTGCTTTGCACGAGGGCAGGCAACCTTGACGGAAACCAGGAGGGAAAGTTTTTGATTTTTAGTTTTTTATGTCCCTTCCTTCGGGGTACATTATGCTGAAGTTCCGCTGCAGCCTATCATTTCTCTGACGATTTTACAGATGTAACAGCTATTTTCATGCACTTTGATCTGGAGCACTATTGGAATAAAGCACAGCAGTTCTGTGGTACACTGCTGGAGTGACAATTATCTCCACAGCCGCATGAAGCATTTTGCCTGTAGGTATTTTAAAAGTCAGCAGCCCGGCCAGACGCGTACAGTAGTGACTCCTATACGCTTTCATTTCGACAAGCACCCGGCCGGCGTGTTGTGTTGCACCGTGATGATGATGATGATGGTGGTGGTAATGTTCAGTGGTCTCTTCTTTGTGTGTCTGTGTGCGAGCGGACGCACACTTGTGCATGCGTGTGTGTGGATGTTTTTTTCGTGTGTGCATGCTTCTTCCAGGCTGACTGTCGAAGAACATTTTCGTTTCTACGCGTCTATGAAAGGTGTGTCGGCGAAGACAATTGACCAAGAGATCCGAGGGTAAGTTCACCATGTCTTGTCTACATACTGGTAGGTAATTAAAATGATGTATGATACAGTGAGCTTGGGGTGTTGAGAGTACAGTAAAACCTGGTGTAAGCGACCTCTGGGTTTAGCGACCACCTGCTATTAACGACCGTTTCTCCATGCACCGACAGTTCTACACAGACACACTGTGTGACCTGGCTTTAACGACCGCTTTTGCTTGCACCGTGGGGTGGTCGCTTATACTGGGTTTTACTGTACTGGTGGGAGAGCTGTATTCACACATTGAGACCTACAAATATAAGATACAGGTACATGTACGAAATCGTTTCACTGCCGGCATGCTGAAAAAACATTTTACTGAACCAGTCTGAATTGTAAAAGGAAAAAAACTAGTCTTGAAAGGATAGAAACGGGTATCATTCCAAATAGGACACAACCTCGTATTCAAGCTTGAAATCTTTTCAAGCCTGAATACGAGGTTGTGTCCTTTTTGGACACATGATTACCATGGTGACGCTAGATGGAGCATGATCGGCTCGTGCTCCATATATCTAGCGTCACCATGGTAATCATGGTTACTGCTGTTACCACGGTTGCTATGGTTACTATAGAAGTGGATGCCTGAATTTGCACTTAGATTACCTGCAGGAGCTGGCTGGCATCAATTAGTGTTGAACCAGAGGCGCTAGGCACCAGAGCTGGTGACATCATCCGTCAAGAGGGGGAAAAACAAAAATATAAAGATTTCATTCACTTCAAACGAGGTCAAAAGACCGTAAACCAGGAAGAATCTGCAAGAAACAAGAAAAACATGACAAGCAAGGTCCCGGGTGCAAGTCCTGGTGTAGTTGGCATTTTTTCTCTTTTCAGGCAGTTCGCTTTCCCAGCTGATCCTTTGAAACAAGAAAAAACAAAAATTACCAAATTTGCCAAAGTAAAAATTCTGAAAATTAGCAAGCAAGGCAAGGTATGGGGGACACAATGATAGCACTAAAATATCAAGGTGTGATTTCTCACGAAAGCGTGCACAAAACAGGGGTATGACAACTAAGCGTTGCATGTGGGTATCAGCAACAACAATGTGAGAATAAAGAAGATACATACATGCAACGCTTAGTTGTCATACCCCTGTTTTTGTGCACGCTTTCGTGAGAAATCACACCTGGATGTTTTAGTGCTGTCATTGTGTCCTCCTTTCCTATAAATCCTGAGTACTGTATTTCCCCAATTGTGAGTCACACTCGATTATAAGGCGCTAGGCGCACCCCCATTTTCAGGTCTGAACCATATTTTTTCAATATAATTATTCACTTCAGTAGAACGTCATGCTCGATTGTAAGTCTTTGTTGCCTCAAGTTAAGTGTAAAAAGGTGCGACTTATATTCGGGGAAGTACAGTTTATTCACTCCCTTTTAGCCTTTGCATGCTGTTCACAGAGCTTTTCCAAAGAGAGACAAGATTTAGGCTTCTTCACCTCTTGTCATATAAATTAACTTTGTTGAATGTGGCACCAGCAACATTCAAAACAAATCCAGAAGGAGCCTCATTTTCTTTATCTACCTCAGACTCAACGTCAGCAGCAGGCTCAGCAGGAGAAGGGGCAGCAGCAGCAAACTGTCGTGAGAGACACAAGAATCAGACTCAGAAGCAGAAACAACAGGCATGGAAGTGGTGGACAAATCTGGCTCTACAGGGGTTTTTTTTATCAATAGCTGCTCCTAAATTTGAGGACTCAGATGGCGAAATTACATCATAGGCAGTTAAGGAGTGAACATTTTTGTGCCCCGGAACACTCATTCTGCCGACTCTGAACACCAGCCTCTTTCAAGTGAACAATGCTTTTAGCTCTTACACAGTGATTCGTGTACTTGCCATCTAATCCAGCCAGTTTGCACAGAAGTTTCATCTTACAATCCAACATGTAGTGCGAGAGGGGTGATCTGATAAACCGAACCTGCCCATTGCTTGTGAAGGACTGACCTGCTGGAATTTTTGCCCTTTGGAATATCCGATCGACACCAGCGTTGAGCTTACTGAGAAACCTCTTGAAAACGGATACTTGTTCAGGATCATCGATGCACCGTGAAGAGAAAACAAGACTTACCTCCACGCAAGCAGACATGTGTGGAGATGATAAACCACACGTAGAGCGTTAGCTTTCTGGGGTCGAGTGTGGTCATCACCTCAGCGAAGAACTGCTGCACCTTGTGCCAGTCGGTATCCGAAGTGGGCATTTTATGTTGGACTGCAGGCTCGGTACCTTTCTTTGCCGATCCAAGAGGATGTTGGCCGCCTTCAATGGGGGTCATTCGCGATATTGAATGGTCTGCCCAATAGTTGAAGGCGGAGGTTGATTGCAGACCTTGTTGCGCCTATACATGTACTGGTAATCCAAGCCATCTTGCTTCTTCGCGTCGACAAAGAAGCCTTGCCAATACTTAGAAAGGGTTTCCGCATCTATCTCTTTGAAGTCAGGTGGTGTTCCATTCTCCTTACAGACGACTGTGAACTAGCGCCTGCACTGAAAGTGATAGAATGGAGGCAGTGTGTGCGCAATGTACGATGCAACTATTGCATTACCTACAATACACGTATGTGTGAATGAGTGCACTGTACTACTCGCTCATACGCATACTATCGCTACACCAACTTAATATACGTCTCACATTAGAACAGTTCTAACGCCTCAAACCAGCCGAGACAATTGTTTCTCACATGGGAGCTGGGTATACATGTACGAGAAAATAGAGAAAAAAACACCTCTGTCTTGTGTTAACTAGTATGGGAATATAAACACTACGACATCGGTGTTTATTCTATACGTACAGCACACAAGAAAGAATATAGTATGCACATGCGGATAACAGGATGCATATATGGATACACAAACCGTGCTTCCTTTGGAGACTAGTTGAACAACTGACTTAACTGTGCGGCTCGGATATATTTCATTTATCAATGTTTGTATTCGTGTGTTCCCCCTTTTGTCCTGCAGTTGGCTGCAGGAAGTTGGTCTTGCAAATAAGCGTAATGTTTCAGCTTCAGACTTGTCCGGTGGAATGCAACGGAGGCTGTCCATTGGCATTGCATTCGTTGGCGGCTCACGGACAGTGATACTGGATGAGCCTACTGCTGGCGTGGATCCATACTCCAGACGCTGCATCTGGGATGTTCTCGTCAAGTACCGCAACCAAGGTAATGGCCCTGTGTTGTGCAGAATGTACCAGTATCCTTGCTCTTCTTTTTTTTATAAGGGGGGGGGGGGTTACACATAGCATAGACCGTGGTAGTGTTGCTGCGCTGCTGTCACTGTCCTGTGGCGATGGGGGATGGCAGTTGAGTTTATAGAAACTTTGTCTGAATCTATCTTCTCTCACTCACTCCCCCCCCCCCCCCCATCTCTCTCTCTCTCTCTCTCTCTCTCTCTCTCTCTCTTCTCCAGGACGGACCATTATCCTGTCAACTCACTTTATGGATGAAGCTGATATTCTCGGTGACCGCATCGCTATCGTAGCGCATGGCCGGTTGAAGTGTGTCGGCTCGTCGATGTTCCTGAAGTCGTGTTTTGGCACTGGGTATACACTGACACTTGTCAAGGCTAAGGTATGCTGCCCACTACAAGCGTTGAACTGTCCTGAATGGAATAGTTGATTGGAGACACTGTGACAGGCATGCATGGTGTTTGTGCACGCACATGCTTGCGACACGTATGTCTGCATGTATGAGTGAGACACAGCATGGTTTTAAACATGTGGCTGATCCAGGCAAGGACGTGTTTTCCCTCTCATGGACAACCCCTCTTGAGTGCGTCCAGGTCATCCTATTATGTGTTGATAGCAACATCAGTAAGAAAGGTGGCTATGGCGAACATGGAGTACCTCTCTGCAGTGCTGACATTCTATTGACAACAGCACAATCTGTACCAGCAAGGCAGCAATACGACCGTCTCTTTCTGCTTTGTTGTATTGTGTTGCATTGCTACAGTCAGTCAGCGGCCTTGCAGAAACACCCGACTTTTCGGCTGAGAGCGGTAAGTTCATGTCACTGTGTTTTTCCGTCTTTTTTGTTTAGCTCATTGCACGTGACATTGATGGCAGAGTCTAGTAAGACTGAGGACTGCTGATTACTAGTACCTTTTGCCTCGGTCTCTGTTTACAGGTGGAGTCCTGGTACAGTAAAACCGACCTCCAGTTTTAGCGACCTCCTGCTTTTAACGACCGTTTTGCCATGCACGGACAGTTCTACGCAGAAACTGCACCTGATACAGCGACTGCTTTGCGCGACCAGCAACCGACTTTTAGTGTACCAAGTGCCATATCTGACCTGCATACAGGACAGTTGAGATGGCTGATCCTCCGTTTTCAGCATGGTGGAAACCGGTGCTGTGAGACGGGCTGCACGAGACGCACGCTGTAGCTTCAGCTGTCCAAGCTTTGCAGCAGAGCTAGTCTTCGACTTTTTCTGTTGCTTGTACATTCGCTGAAAATGACCAATGCCATTACAAGAGTTGCACTTCTTGCCCTTGGCAGGACAAACGAATTTTGTGTGCTCAGAGCGACCACAATTCGGGCAAGTGGACTTGGTCGCACTTGACGTCTGACTTGGCTTGGGGCCAGCTGGCTTGTGACACTTCTGCTGCTTATATGTCGACTGCTTGGCAGCACTTGCCTGGAGGCCAGGACTGGGCATGTGTGCCTTTGTGTGGTACGCTGCTTCCTCCGTCCGACAGAGGGTGACGGCCTGGTCGAGTGTGAGATCACGAGTTGCGAGCAACTTGTGTCGTGTCTCGTCGCTCCGTATACCAATTACTACGCGGTCACGTAGAGATTCCTCCTTGAGGTTACGTCCGAGGCCTTTACACTGCGTACAGCAGCGAGCGTCACAAGTTTGACATAGATTGTGTGACAAGAAGTCACATACACGCACTTTGCAGTTCACATAGGGCAGTGTAAAATGCATCAAATGACTCTCCAGCTTGCTGGACTTGCTGATGAAATTCTATTCGGTCCAATAGCGGATTGCGTTGCCGCCTGATGTGTGCCTGAATGCGCTCCAGCATCAGGTCGACGTCAGCTGAGGTCCGCGAGGTGGACTGAGGCTGCGATGGTGATGGTGACCTGCTCTGAACATTGTTGAACAGATCTTGCATCGCCTTATCACGAGCCTCAGCTGCACGCATCTGCTGCTCTATAAATTTCATCAGTACACCCATTTGAGATGCATGCTGTCGCTTGTTCGCGGAGGACAGGTCAAATCCGGTATCGTCCTCTGATTGTTCCATTACGATTAGTCACTCGTCCACGAGTACGAACAAATATGGTGGTTTAGCGTGTGCGCTAAGCCCTGTTAACGAACGTGGAACATCTACCACTCATACTTAGTAACGGTTTCTCGATTGGCCACTCCTCTGGTATCATGCATTCAATCTGTCAATCATCCGTCTAGTCTCTGCAATAAACAATTTGTCACCCTGTACCTACAGTCTTGTTGCGATGCTGGGGAAACAGCTGGTCCGTTTGCTGAGCCGCCATATCAGTTGTTTCAAACCTCGGGTTTGGGCCTGATCCCAAAATCCAATGGCAAATTTCGCCTCATCCATGACCTATCCTCCCCCACTGGCTGCAGTGTCAATGATGGTATTTCCCGGGAGTCATTCAGCTTGGCGTATGACACTGTCGATTCGGCTATCTCCTATATCATGAAGTTAGGCCGTGGTTGCTACCTGACCAAAGTGGACATTCGAAACGCCTTCCGATTATGCCCTGTTGCCCCCTCTGACTGGCACTTGTTGGGTATCCTTGGGATGGTCGTTACTATTTCGAAAAAGTCCTCCCGTTCGGCCTTCGGTCAGCTCCGTACATATTTGACAAGTTTTCATCTGCCCTTCATTGGGTTCTGGAGGACACATGCCGCCTTCCCCATCTCATTCATTATCTGGATGACTTCCTGAATGTATCGCCTCCCAGTCCTCCTCTTGCCCAGCACCAGAAGTCACTACTGCTCGACCTGTTTGCATATTTACAGGTCCCAGTTGCACCTGAGAAGGTTGATGGCCCCTCTACCGTTCTCACCTTCCTGGGCTTAGAGCTGGACACAATGGCTCTGGAGATCCGCCTTCCACCCTCCAAGCTGACTAAGCTATCTACCACCGTGTCGGCCCTCGTCCAATCCGGCCGGGTTCAGAAACGCGACCTCGCCTCCGTATTGGGCAAACTCTCGTTCGCGTCCAGAGCTGTACCAGCTGGTCGCACATTCCTGAGACGCCTGTACGACCTGGACAGAGCAACTCGATCAACACCATTGCACCAATGGCTACGCATTTCGGCATCGGCAATGGCAGACCTGTTAACCCGACTGCTGCATGGACGATAAGTGCTGCGAATAGTGATCATGCGCCCTGGCCTGAGTAGCTCGCTTGGCTAATTGAAAGTCTGCCGACCTGGGCCACATTATGTTGCTAAGGCATGCACAACCCCAGTCACAGCGCGCAAGTTGGTTGAGTTTGGCCGTCAGGAGGCCAGCGCAAGGTATCCGGGGCGCGGGTCTGATTCCAGCGAGGGGCAATGTGGTACCCCGCAGCGCAAGGGTAGCGTGATACCCTAAGCCAGCGTGCGTGCTGCATGAGTAGCGTGATACTCGCTGAGCGCTTTTGCTGTTGCCTAGCAACGCGTTTCTGTCTTTCCTGGGCCCCCAACGCATGTTGGGTGGCCCTGCGCATGACTGCACGTTGTCATAGCAACCTTGGAAACCTCAAGCCGGTTACCAACAAGCTAGGAATCAGACCAAGCCGCCGAATGCCCCCAAATTCCGCGTTGGTCAGCCGAATGACCTTAGTGTGGTATTCAAGCGCTTCAGCTACATGTACGTAGTTCAAATGCGTGCCCTTCGCATGTTTGTTTTCCCTTAGTGACACCGAGAAGGGTTTGAATCGCATGTAGTCGGAGCGTGCGTGCACACATGGGGTGTCCCACACCGCCATGGCATGGGGTGTCCCACACCGCCATGGCATGGGGTGTCCCACACCGCCATGGCATGGGGTGTCCCACACCGCCATGGTCTGGGGTGTCCCACACCGCCATAGCATGGGGTGTCCCACACCGCTAGGTGGGAGCTATAGCACAGCAACAGAGTGGTGCAGATAACTTATCATAAGTATCAGAGGCGTGCGTGCACAGTCAGTGCTAGAACGTGAGTGCATACGTCCGCGAATGGGCGTATCAGCGTGTGCGCAGCGTGTGTACCTGCATGCATGCTTGTGCGGTGTCAGACTGTGGGTGCGTGTACGCGTGCATGCATGTGTGTGTCCATGCGTGGGTGTGTGTGCGTGCGTGTGTATGTGTCTGCGGGTGCGTGTATGTGGGTGTGGCTGTGCGCGCTTGCGCGCCTGCGGACGGCGAACAGTTACTTTCCACAGCGTACATAGTTCTTGTAGCAGGCACTTCGCCATCTGCCGAGTTTCATGATCTCGGATTCGGTGAAGCCGCTCATTGCTCCTGTGGTTGCGGCTCCGGCTCTGAGGCCGTGCAGGGAATACTGGATAGGTGGGTACCCTGCGCTGCTCAGTAGCTGACGGATTAGACGGGTGAGTCTTGGTGCAGTTAGGAACTTGCCACAGCTGTCAACGAACAGTGGTCTATTGGGCAGGTTGGGGCGTCTTGATAGATAGGTATGCATGGCTTTGACCGGGCAAACCGTTGAGTTGGTGGTTGTGAGCCGGACGGAGTGACCCTTGCCGAGTTGGTCGGTCTTGGACTTCTTGATTGTGACCTGTATTGCCTGCGGCGTGATGGAGAGGTCTTCTGTTCGGAGGCCACCGTCTGACATGGTCGTGGCGGTTGTGGAAGTGTACTCACTTGCCCGGAGACACGCAAAGAAGCCCAGGCAAATAGCTGCCCATACCATGGCTCGGTCGGTCGCGTTGAGGTTAGACCGTATCAGGGCCCTGCGCATAGCTGCCATGTGGGGCAGGAGGATTGGCTTACTGGCGTTTTTAGTTCGGTTGGCCTGTGCACGTGCCACTCCTTGAACTGCGAGGTCCACTCTTCGCGACGAGAGATCTTTGCCGTTTTCTTTGGCAATTGCCCGGATCGCCGACACATACAGGCGGACGGTTGACGCGGCATGTTGACGCGCCAGGTAGGCTACAAACGCCAGCATGATGGTGTCTGTAATCACCTTGGTGCCGACTAGTTGGCAGAATTGGTGCAGTCGTTTCCAGGCTGTCGCGTATGTGGCACGTGTGGACGCTGACAGGCCTAGCCACTGGTAGGCCTGACCCTCCAACATCAGAGGGAGTAGGTGCTCTCGGGCACCGGAGATGGCGTGTCTTCTGCTGTGGGTGCCAGTCGGCGAAATCGGGCCATCTGAAACCGAGACAGAGAGTCAGCAATCGCATTGTCAGTGCCGGGGATGTGGGAGACTATGACGTGAAAGTTCGGGGCACTTTGTGCGTGAGCGGAGCCAGATGTCGCATACGCTACGGTTGTCGCAGTGGAAGCGGATGCGCTTCAGATGCAGCTGCGGTGCCCATGTGGATGCTGCGGCCACGATGGCAAAGAGCTCCATCCACGCGATGGATCTCTGGGATTGGTGCCTCTGCCAACGGTGTTGGAGCCACCGGCCGGCGAAGAAAGCACCATAGCCGATGGCTCCAGATGCGTCCGTGTAGAGGTCCATATCGGCGGCGGCTGACCACGTGGGTTCTAGGAAGAAGGCGACGCCATTCCAGGCAGGGAGGAAGTCAAGCCACCACTGGATGTCTGCTTTGGCGTCTTCTGTGATTCTGATGTAATCGTTTGGATGCGGGACCGTCGTGCTGAGATCAATGAGGCGGCGCAGAAACATGCGGCCCGCAGGGACCGCCTTGCAGGCAAAGCTGAGGTGACCTATCAGGGACAACAATTCAGATTTGCGGGCGGTAGGGCGGGTATGTTGCCAAGCCTTGAGGGCAATGAGAAGGTCTTCTAACTTGTCGGATGGGAGGCGGATTTCGAAGCGCTCTGTGTCCAGCATGACACCGAGGAATGTCAG